CCCCTGTATCTGGGGTGGGAGAAGGCTGGGGATAAGGGGGGACAGTGGCTGTGAAAGGCTGGGACTGGGGAAGAAGAGTAGAGCGAGATCGGGTTGAGACAAGAGTGGTGTCGCGCTTGAAGACGGGGAAAGAGCCAAGGGGGAAGGAGGAAAGAAGAATGAGGCAGCTGTCAAACACCGTGTTGTTTGGGTTGGATGAGGAGTGGAGCGTGGGGCGCAGAGATGAAGTGGGGTAGGTATAGAGGGGGGCTTCAGAGGGTTCAAGGTTATAAAGGCCAGAGGATAGGTCTTGGAGCCGGGGCTGAAGGAAGGAGAAGCGGGCTTGAAGGTTTGACGGGGACAGACATAGTTCACCACAGCCTGAGGCGTGTGCCCATCCCAGAGCCTAAGGAGTGAGCAATTGCTGCACAAGCGCAGCAGTAGAGGAATGGGTGGAAACTGGTGGGCTATGGATGCTGGGAATATCCGCTGGCATCCACAGCCCCACGACACCACTCCTCCCAGTATCAGCCTAGTGTTTACTGTCAAGTCTGTGCTACACGCTGACATGGATGACCTCACTGAGCACTTAGAATAATCCTTTCAGGCGGGCCTATTACAAAATCCACCAGAGATTCAGAGAGGTCGAGCAACTTATTCAAGTTCACAGGGTTCCGATTCTGCCGCAGATGTAGTGGACATGTAATCAAAAGGTGGATCTAGAGGAGAGTCTTTCTGGCCAGAGGTTTAAACCATTCAGGTTGGTGATGGCGTAAGCAAGGCAGTCTGCGTCCAGAGGTCAAGGATGAATCTGACTGTGATGCTAAGCTGGGGTCAGGGCCCTGGCTGCCGTCTGTGACATCATCTAGTCCGGTACTCAGTGCTCCCTGCTGGGGGAGATGCTAGATATGTGGGGGCTTTTGTTTTGTTTGTGCATCATTGCAGTTGAAGGGCCATGTGACAGGCACAGAGACCCTGTAGCAATTCTCAAGCACTGCCCTTGAAAATCATCTATTTTGCAGCAATGGGGAAGCCTAGAGCTGGTGCCCCAAGGCCTGGGCTGGAAAGAGATTTGGAAAAACAGAACAGCTTTGCTCTAAGTTAAGTGTGATGGTCCAGATCTGTAATCCCAGCATGCAGTAGGTGGAGGCAGGAATATCAAGGTCATCCTTGGCTACATGGGTAGTTCAAGGCCACCATGAGCTACATGTAATTTTTGCTTTGCTTTGGTTTTTGGCTTTCGAGACAGGTTTTCTCTGTGTAGCTTTTTGGAACCTGTCCTGGAAGTCTCTCTGTGGACCAGGCTGCCATCGAACTCACAGAGAGCTGCCTGCCTCTCCTCCTGAGTGCTGGGACTAAAGGTGTGTACCACCACCATCCAGCTTGAGCTACAAGTCTTAAAAAAATGACTTGGTTCTAGATCCATCTGTGATGTGGCCTTGAATGGAAGTTGTAATTTCTGTGAGCCTCAATTTCCCTATCTGTAAGATGGGAACATATGTGCTAGTTGTGATACAAGTTACAGTGGAATGATGCCTGGGAACTGCCTGGCCTGTAGAAGGTCCTTGGTTAATGTGACTTCCTTCTTTGGAGCTGAGAGGTCTCTGTAGATGCTGATGCTTCTGAGAAATTTGTGACACCACACTCCATGACCCGGCGGGAAGGAACTTCCTGAACAGCTGGGTCTCTACTGTCCCTACTTCCAAGAACAGAGACAGCCTCCTAGCCTAAAATATGGTGGGACAAGGGTGCTCCTCTCTCTAGAATGGGACAGAAAGATCCAGGCTGAGGGAGTGCGAGGGATCACCATGTCACATCTCCCCGCTCTCCCTGTCTGTCCCTGACCCCACCGGGGAACATTACTAAGAGAAGCTAAGCCCCTTAGCAGAAGTTTTTGGGCCACCCACTGGTGGCTGCTGCTGCTGCAGGCTGAAGTCTCTGGGGATAGGACTGAAGGCCAGGCCACCAGCTAGGAACCCAGGCCAGGGAGGGCACAGGCGGCTGCTGCAACCTGAACATTCGATAAACCATTAATTCTTAATAAACGACAGGCTGTGCATTATTTAACAATAATGATACTTTCTGTTCCATTATAGATTAAAACACTGGCCTCTTCTTATTAATCCTGCATTTCAAAAGCTTGTAAATCCTGCACAGCCAGAGGAGATAAAAGCAGGCTCAACCCCATCCTGGGGCTGACACACTTGCACTGACATAGTGGCTCAGCTGCTCTGCCTGGGTGCACACACTCGTGTGCCCTGTGCCCACCTACAGCCCAGTTCCTGGACAACATCAGCACACCTGCTGTGAATATCTCTTCCCTGGATCCCCACCCCACACTCACAGCCTGCCTTTCCATTCTCTACCTCTCCTCCCTTTATCTTCACAACATTCCATCACACACAACCACAATATGCACATCATATGAGATTCCATTCTCATATGGGTTTTACATTTCTCTAGAGTTCTCGGGAGGGGGTGAGCAGAGGAGAAATTCAATCATAGGGAAAGGGAAGGAGGAGGTTCACAGAAAAGAAGGGGGCAGGCATCTCAAGCCCACGAAGGCTGGGGGCGGGTTCTGAGCTCAAGTCCTCTTGACATACTGAGAACTGCACAGGGTTCCCTTATAGTGATCCTCACTGGACATACACATCTCTCTGTGTGTCCGTCAGGCTCTGTTTACATACCCGCAGGGACAGAAAGCTCACTCCCACCAGAAACAGCATCTGCATTACTGCAGAGCCCCCAGCCTTCTAGAATTTCTCTACAAGCCGGACTTGGTGGTGTACACCTAAAATTCCAGCACCAAGGAGGTGGAGGCAAGAGGACTAAAAGTTCAATACCACCCTCTGCTACATAGTGAGTTAGAGGCAAGTCTTATATACATGAGACTTTGTCTCAGCAGGCAGTGGTGGCACATGCCTTTAACCGCAGCACTAGAGGCAGAGGCAGAGGCAGAGGCAGAGGCAGAGGCAGAGGCAGAGGCAGAGGCAGAGGCAGAGGCAGAGGCAGAGGCAGAGGCAGAGGCAGAGGCAGAGGCAGAGGCAGAGGCAGAGGCAGAGGCAGAGGCAGAGGCAGAGGCAGAGGCAGAGGCAGAGGCAGAGGCAGAGGCAGAGAGATCTCTGTGAGTTCAAGGAACAGAACGAGTTCCCGGACAGGTGCCAAAGCTTCACAGAGAAACCCCATCTCAGAACAAAAGGAGAAGAGGAAGAGGAAGAGGAAGAAGAAGAAGAAGAAGAAGAAGAAGAGACCTTGTCTCAAAAATCAAACTACAGACATACAGACAAGAAGAGCTTCAGGCTCCCTCTGGCACATTGCAGGCCTTTGGGAAGGGAACAACTGCCAGAGGTTCACTGATGCTTCCATGTTTTCTCCAGACCTCAGATTGAACTGTGTTTTTATCTTGATGTCCCTGGTCTGTGCTGCCATGGAAGCAGACCACAGCCCTTAGCATGGTGCAGGCAGAATAGTTAGACATTCTTTCTGTGGAGAGTCAGAAACCATAACTAAGGATTTGTAAAGAAAATCCACTGTGACCTTGGATGCCTTGACCAAGGTCATTGCAAAAAACCATCTGCATTTATGGAACTTTTACAAATTCTGGATACCTATTGCATCACCACACTTCATTTTAGCCTTGGAAAATGCTTCTGCTCTTCCTGGGGGTGAGGAGGGGAGTTGCTTGGCTGTGAGCACACAAGTATACAAGTGGTGGAAACGGAAGGTAAAGCAGCTACTGTCTGGCTTTTAGTAATTTATTTTTATGTACATCGGTGCTTTGCCATGGGTGTTGGGTCCCCTGGAGCTGGAATTACAGACAGTTGTGAGCTGCCACATGGGTGCTGGGAATTGAACCCCAGTCATTTGGAAAAGCAGCCAGTGTTCATAACTCCTGCGCCATCTCTCTAGCCCGACTGTCTGGCTTTTAACCTCTCCTCAGAGTTGAGTCTTTGGGCCATCTGAACCCCCAAAGCCAGTAGGACTGGTACAAACCCAAGCTAAACTTTCCCAGATTGGATTACAGGTGCCCTGTAGACTCTCCAGGAGGTGTGAAAACGGAGTCGATGAGGGGAGATCTCTGGCTTCTCTGGTTTTACTTCCTGGTCTCCCCCAACCCACCACCCCAGTGAGGTTCCCTTCCTACTATAGCAGGCTTATTTCTCCTGTTCCTTCTCCTCCTTCTCCTCCTTTTTGACCAGATCTCACAATGTAGACCAAGCTGGCTGTGGCTTCATCCATCATCCTGCCTCTCAGTCCCCGGGAATGCTGTGATTACAGGCATGTGCTACCAAAATGAGCCAGACAAAGTCCATCATGCAGGGTGACCCACTGAGGCTGAGTGGCTAAGTCTAGTGAGTGGTGTCCAAATTCATCTTGCTCAGGACTGTTACAACTGGCCTGAGATGTTTCCTAAGAGCAGATCAGGGGGTAGAAAGACAGCTCGGGCATTAAGAGCACTGGCTGTTCTTCCAGAGGACTCAGGTTTTGTTTCCAGCACCCATGTAGCAGCTAATAAGCCTCTCTATGCAGCTCCAGTCTCAGAAGCCATCTGTAACTGTCAGGAGAACTGTCACCCTCCTCTGGCCTCAACCCCCCAAAGGATCAGATGAAGGAGACTGGAGACATAGCTCACTTGGTAGAGTGTGTCCTATCATGACCAAAGC